TTATTGGTCTGGTAAAAAAAACAAAAAATCTTTGCATATGTAATAACCAGGGCTGCAAGGTGGCGCAGTTGGTAGCACTGTTGCCTCGCAGCAAGAAGGTCGCCGGTTCGCATCCCGGTGGGGGCACCGGAATCTTTCTGCGTGGAGTCTCCATGTTCTCCCCGTGCAGCGTCTCTCCGGGTTCTCCGGCTTCCTCCCACACAGTCCAAACACATGTTGAGGTTAATTNGCACTTTAATAATCGGGGTTTAGAAATGTCCTCGTTATGCGTTTGCACATGTAAACCTTGGTCGGGCAAAGTTTTTAGAAAACCAACTGCAGGATTTTTTTTTTTAAAAACCCAAAAAAACATATTTGTAATGTGTACATTTGCCTCGTTAACTTTAAATTATAAAGTCAATAACACTGCAGCAGCTAGAATAGAATAGAATAGAATAGATAGAATAGAATGCCTTTATTGTCACTATACACATGTACAATGAGATTAAGAGCAGCTCCTTCAGTGCAATATAGAATAAAGTACAAAATAAAGAGCAAAAAAATAAAAAAATAGAAGAGATTTAAGTATAAAATAAGGTAAGTTATACATACAGTATATGTTATATGTACAGTATGAATTTAGAAATCTATATATAAAGAAACATAGTGAGGAAGAAGACAAGAAATACAAAAGTAGAATAAAGATAAAATATAATAAAGACCACGTACACCTTTCACGTGAACAGTTGTGAACAAAAGTTTGTCGAGCATGGCAGTGGCATTATTATGCTCTAAGGTTCGTGGAAATGCTGCTTAACACAAAGTTAATGGAATAATGAAGGATTACCTCCACAGTTATTAAACCTAAAATCATCATGTAGAAGCCGATAATGTAGTAACGGCCGATTACATAATAAATTTGCACTCTTTAAAATGTAATAGGCCAATAACGTAATGAAAGTCCTGAACCGATAACGTAATATCTAACAAGTTATTACGTTATTGGTCTGGTAAAAAAAAAAAATTCCTTGCATATGTAATAACCAGCCAATAACGTAATAACTTATTACACTATCGGTTCAGGTTTTATTACGCTACTGGCCTCTTACATTTTAAAAATGGCAAATTTATCCCGTCATCAGCCATTGTTACGTTGTTGGTTTCTCCACACCAGCCTGAGGGTTGGATCTTGGATGCAGTTTGATGTTCCACCAACACAATGACCTCAAACATACATCAAAAAAGAAACGGCTAAATCAGGCTCGAATTAAGGTTCTAGACCGGTCTCCCCGAAGTCCTGACCTACACCCCATCAAGAACCTGTAGCTGTGCTAAAGAAACACTTCTGTGTCAGAAAGCAGACAAATTTAGTCGAACTGCACCAATTCTGTCAAGAGGAGGGTCAAATATCAACCAGGAGCTTGTGGACGGCTAAAAAAAAAACACCTAGATGAGGTGAAAATGGCAAAAGGACGTTTAGCCAAATATGTTTATGTTTGACAAAGCAGATTTTGTCATATTTCTGTAATAAATCGATGAAAATGCCTGATTGTTTTGTTGTGACAAAGACGGAGGGGTTTCAGTCCTCATGATAGGAGTCATTGGAAACTCAAGACTACCAGTGTATGTAAACTTTTGATCCCAACTGTAGAGATATTGTTAAAACATGTACCCAAATGGTAGGACACACGATGTAGAAACGTACTTTAAAGCTATAAAAAATAACAGCGCTGCATTGTGTTGTTGCACTTGAAAAGTTTTATATATAGAGGAAAAAAACAGCGGTACACTTGAAGGGCTGTGAAGACAAACAGCGTTACATAACGAGCAGCGAAAGACGTATAATTAATCTCATCTGTTGCACATCTATAACTGTACGTGTGCGCGTAGATACCAGCGTGGAGAGAACGTGAATAAAGCAATTAAAAGAAACTAGAAACACAAAGGGAAGTCGGAGTTGCTGCCACTCACACGACGCAAAAAAAAAAAAAAAATCATGTTTTTCACAGAACGCGAAGTTGCTCGACTCTGTTAATTATGCGGAGGAGCTAAATGCGGCATTGTGTCCAGGCAGATAGAAAGCAGGCTGTTGAGCTTTGCTAACTCCAAGGACACATTATGACACAATGAGCCCCTGGGCACAGACATTTAAAAAAGGCCCCCGATGCCTCCCACATAAGAGCAAAGACAGAACTGTCTGAAAGGCAACAAGGCTTTGTCTTTTTTGCATGATCATAATCGTTGCTTTGCATCTCTTTGTTCGTTTTTTTTGTGTCTCTTTGCAGTCGTTCTGCCATTTGTGGTTGCGTTTGCGATCATTTGTTGCACGTCTTTGTTCTAGTTTTTGGTCTCGGTTATTTACAGTCTTGTCGATACAGTTTTGTACATCTTTTATTTATTCTGTCATTTTGAGGTGCAGGGATGCAAACAGGTACAAGATGTGAGAATGTTGTGAGGATAGAAGAAAAGAAAGAAAATCTTCTCGTGTTCTTTCATCTCAAATCATCAGGGACCTTCTGCTTGACCGTTTCTGACTTGTCGGGGCGTTAAAAGGCCTTATTTATATATTTGGAGAACCATTTTGAAACACCAGAACCTTGTTATACTATCTGGTAATACTTGTGTTTTTGTGGTCCACCTGGTAAACCTGCTCAGTCTGTTATGAACGTATTCTATATGTTTGTTTTGTTTTTTGTTATTCTGACATGCAGCTACATGTGTTTCAGAAAACGTCACTAGTTGACTATTTTTTCCACAATGGCTTTAACTTTTTTCATATTTCAGCTCACTCATAATCAGAGACTGCTTGTCCAATCATGCATTTTCTGAATAAATGACAAGATGAGAAATAACCGTTAAAATTTCTGGCTTTTACTTTTAATAATTCTTGAGATAATGTCGTTGAAACTCAAATTTCAATGTGAGCTATGTGGAAAATAGTTCAATTAAAAAAATATATAACTCCAAGAGTATTCAACACATCAAGCTAAAATTTTATCTTCACAAATATTCATACTTTATGCTATCAAAATTTCAGGCAAATCAGAGATGGTTGAGCAGAAATTGTAAAAATTAGACGACAGAGATGCTCATTTTGAGTATTTATGGGGCAAAAACAACCTAAACCGTGTAAAAGCTGAACACATCAACCAGACACAAAAACAAGAAAAGCAAAAACATGCTGGGAATCATCTTCACCACGTCAGAGAACCGTTTTTTTCCCCTGATATTCTGAGTCCTTTAAACGCAGCCAAGTCGCAGCTGAAACACCCACAGACCGCTGCACGTCACACTGAACATGCTCTGGTGTGACGTTCGAGAGCGACGGACATATTTGTGTCGTCTGTCACGAAAGCCAACATATCAGGATGTGACGCGTTCACATTTCATACCTTTAATCGACATCACTGATCGTTGTGTGCTGCGCGTTATGTCACGGTTGGCATATTCTCCATCTTTATAGCTTCAGTGTCCCTAAAGAAAGGACCAAAGTCTCCTCAGATCTGCACGAACCTCATAGGTGACCTGCGTTTAGAGCACTTTTGTGTGCTTTTGCTGTTATTCTGTGTCTCTTTGTAGTCATTTTTATTGACTTTCCAGCAAGAAATGTTTTTACTTCAAGCAGAGTCTAGAGATCACGAACCCCCTCGACGGCTCGATGTTTGCTCCTGTAATTTATCCAAACTTCACTTGCTCTGTGCTGAAATGACAGATTTGCCTTGAATGTGAAAGGGATCAAGACAAGCCCATTTTTTATTTTAAGTATTTACAGGTTCAATGGAAATTTTGCTTTCACAGTGTTTGAGCCCATTTGACCAGTAGATGTGGGATGCCTCATGGATCAACAACGGTGCCACGTGATTTTTTAATTTGCTTTTTTTTTTAAAGTGTGCATCGTATTAATATTTTAAAAAAGAAAAGAAAAACTACAGCATTCCCTTCGACTATATATTCTCACCTCATCCAAATGTAAAATATAAGCAATAAATATTAAAACCCCAACACCGAGAGCGCCGTTGGATATATAAGTTATCCCGCAGGTAACGACAGAACATATCACAGTAGGTTGTCATATTTATGAGTTTTCAAGGCGCACAACGGTAAGAAATTATTACATAAAGATATTGAAACGGAAGCGACGGTGAGATTTTAAATAGACTCAAACAAGCGCTGATTCATCTGAGCCCTCGGGACACTCAAAGTCTGCGTGAACACAACTAAGTGCCACGAGAAAGAAAAAAAAAAAAGCTGAATGGAGGGAGGGCGGCGGTTGCAAAAATATTTGGGAAGCACAGTTTAAAAAAGAAAAGTCTTCTGGCAAAAATGTGACTGCACGGATGTACGTTGGTGCAACAGCTGAGTTGGAACAGGAAGCTTCCACGTGCACCCAAATGTGTGTGTGATCTCAAAACCTATCAGGGTTTCCATTTCTGCCTTTGTGTTCTTGGGTTTTAATGAACTGGAGTCGTAAAGAAACAGGTTAAAGGCAATTCTTTGCTCAGTTTAGCAGCGTCTTCACCTCGTTTTGCATCTGCTGCATTGCGTCTTTCAACCCGGCCTCCGAAGTTCGCCTCAAACTTTCAGATCCTGACACAGAAAGATGAATAATCAGGTTGCTCTTTGTTTATTGTAAATGCTGCATTCCAAATATGAAGCTACTTGGGAGGGTTAACTGGAGGATTCACCTTCTGCTCGTCTGAGGCTGTGAGACCCAAAAGGAGTGTCCCTCCTCCTGTGTCTCTCTGCACCCACTTTGCTTTTGAATATTTTACGTTGTGTGTTCCAGCAGTCCGACTGCTCTCAGACAAAAAAAACAAAAAAAGAACCCTGCTTTGTTCTTTTTTTGTTTGTTGCCGACTGCCTGATGCTTTTAGGATTTGCACCGGCGCTCGACCCCTCGCTGAGAATTATGAAACGCCGTTATTTTTGGCAGGTACATTTAATTGAATGGAAGCAATCTGGCGTTTTAATAATTAACGAGCAAACAACTGTCTGCCCCCTCCAGGTTGAGGCTCGGAGCGATGCAGTCTCTGTTCGGCGGAGGCGAGCTGGGGCTGCTGGGAGGAGGCGGCGGCGACGCGGGCGGCCTGAAGGAGGATGGCTGCGGCAGCGTGGCGTGGCGGTCCTCGCCGCTGCCCCCCGACGACGTCTACTCGGCCTCCCACTTTGCCCTCATCACCGCCTATCAGGACATCAAGACGAGGCTGGCCTGCCTGGAGCGAGAGAACACCAGCATCAAGAGGAAACTCAAGATCTATGAGATCAAGGTGAAGGGTTTTTCACTTCAAAGCCGCGTCACAAAGTCCGATATTAGCGCGCTTTCGAAAACTCATCATGGCGGTTGTTTTTGTCCTTGTTGGTATCGCTCAGAAGGACCTCTTGCGCGGACAAGGATGAGGAGGGTGGTTTCTTTTTTTTTTTTTGATTTATTGTGAGTCTTTGAAAAGGGGAGAGAGATGTCCACCCACTCTTTGTATTTTCCACTTTTATTGAAGCAGTGAGATTGTACACAAAGATGAAAGCAGAGAAGCTTCGGTGGGCTTTGATCCGGGACCAGCAGGAAAATAAACAGGAATCCAAGAGAAGGGAATCATTCCACGTGTAGTATAAGCTCAAGTTTAACCGATATGCAAGTAAAAATAATAAATGAAGGGAGATGCGAGCCATTGAGGAAAACGGAAACTGGCGTTGAAGGTGAGCTGAGCTAACGCAGCTGTTAGATGTGATCTGTAAATGGAAACAGAATCTGCATAATGAGGGGAGGTCAGCAGCTTCAGTGTCAACGAGGGTTCCATTTATCTTGATTTTTTCAATGTCCGTAAACATGTTGAGTGATTTTGAAGAACTGGCTAATTTGTCAGACAGAGTTGGGACAGCAGTACGGAAGAGGATTAGGGCCACTGAAGAAAAAAAATCAGAATTCTGAGAAAAAAAATCAGAATTCTGACTTTTTTCTCAGAATTCTGACTTTTTTCCAGAACATTACAAAAAAAAAATTCCGGGAGATTTTTTTTTCAATCTCTGAAAAAAGTCAGAATTCTGACTTTAATCTCTGAATTTTGACTTTTTTCTCAGAACTTTTTTTTTTTTCTTCAGTGGCCCTAATTCTCTTCCGCACAGCAGAGAAGGGCAAAAAAAAAAAAAATCTGTTCATAAAATACCCTGAAACGCCTTTTAAAAATGTAATAATTTCTCATAGCATGTTGTGTTTGACAAACAGTCTAATAAACGCAGCAAATTCTAATATTTGGGGAAGTTGGAGCCACAAAAAAAATCTTCCAAATCTACATAATGGGAGATGGAAACACCGTTTTTGAATAAATTCTGCAGTAATGCAAATTCGACTCACGTAACTGATCTGCTGGTTCCACTTATTTCATTGTGTTTGTCTCCAGACAACAGGAAACATGTTCCAAGCTGTTACGAGCTGACATGACAGAATAGTTCATTTATTTGGACATATTTGTAAATATACACCATGCCATATAGTCATAGTCATATATTTTTTTAACAATATATCTGCACATTATACTCTGCATTATTGCACTTCTGGGTAGATGCTAATTGCTTTTCGTTGTCTTGTACTGTACATGTGTAATGAGAAAAAAGCTATATCTAATTATAACTTGCTCGATTGAATGAAATTCTCTAACTTTTGTTTGTTTCTTCAAGATTTTTTAGCACTTAGCAAACAATTAGATTTGTTTTCAGCTTCTTCTATTCATTGCACGTTACATCCACGCATAACAAAGCCGATAGTGTTACACCCCTGAAAAGGGGAATAATGAGGACAAGACACGAGGCGGTGTTACTTCCTTCACGTCCAGTCTTAATATGTCCAGTCGTAATGGATGAGCAGGAGCAACACGGTTCCCTACGTGAACTCAGGCATACTCAATCGATTCCCGATCAGCAGGCAAAAACTCTTAAAACATAAACTCTGAGGGAAATACTCTATTAAAACAAGGCAAAATAATAAATGAGCAAAACATTTAAACGATGACATTTTTAACTCGGTATTGTGCTAATGCGTCATTTTATAACTTTTTAGCTTGAAGACCAGAGTAATCGATAGCGGAACAATCAATCAGGAAATCACTGTGCAATGACTTTAAGATGAATTATGATATGCTCGTTTTTCGTTTTTGAGGTACTAATATGAACTATAGCAAATTACTTCTTTTTCTCTTTTTAACACAGAATTACATATTGTGTTTCCTTTGACTTTTAGACAGTTAACGTTTTTATAACCATTACAATAGCACCTCCTTCTGTTGACGCTACACAGCCTGGTTTCTTCGTTAAGTTTTCAAATTCGTCAGACAATCGTACAGAAACAAAGCAACAGAATACGTTCAAGCACCGCAAAGCTGAACTTACTTCGATCATGCAAGGGTAAATCACAATCAAATCCAGCACACAGTACATAAATACTGAATCTTTGCACTCTGCAAGCTGCTGACGATATTGGTTTGAATAATTGCATCGACATACATTATGATTATCGGTGATATTGATCGGTAGTCAGCAGGGAAATAACTACTGCACAAGAACAATGTTCATGTCAAAGGGCTGCACGAAGGGTTCAAAAGGGCTCATCTGGAGGGTCATGACGGTTCAAGATATTTAAAGAAAAGCCTGATTTTTCAAAGACAAAAAGCCTTTTTCACCGCGCATCTTCTCATAAGAAAAAAAAAACATCAGTTGAGCTCTTCGTCTTAAAGTCAGCGTAAATGTCTGAGCGAAATCTTTAGATGAGGAAGCAGGTGAAGCAGAAACCCGCCTCCTAGCAGTAGCCAGACTTACACGCAGATATAACGGCAGAAGGTGAGGAAATGAGCGTAAAGAAATCGCGTGGGAGGACGGAAAATGAGGAAAAAAAATGCGAAATGGAAGGAGCTACACGGGGAAAAAAAAAGGATGAGAAACGTGGGAGTAAAAGATGACGTACAGAGCAAGGCAGAGAGAAACTGTTGAAATTGGGAACAAAGAAGGATTAGAAAGCAAAAAAATAAAATCCACTCCTGGATCGTCATTAGTCTGCGGTTCTAGGAAACATACAGCCACTTTCCTCTCAGCTTCGAGTTTTCCTCCAGGTACACGAAGAGCTTCAGTGTTTACAGCGAGCGCTTTAATCAGCTTAGCACTTGTTTTTCTGTCCGAGAGTCGAGAGAACGAAATGCCGCGAATGACAAAATGTTATTAAGAGGCTGCTGTGCTTGAAATACTCCAAGAAGACAAAAACGGATGCCAGCTGCATTACGGATACCGACGGAAGTGAAACTCTTGTCAAGCTTTGATTTGGGGAGATGTCAAACCCGCATGATTAATGTCAGGGTTTAATGCGTTTTGCCGGGTTTAGACTGTTTTTTCCCCCAAGTAAGGAAGACGAGAAACCGCTAATTGCTGGAAATCCATTTTGACGTGTGAGCAGAGGACAGACAGAAATCCTGCATCGTTTTAGCGAGCAGCTGTTATGGAAGGCTTCAGGCTGTCGTGGTTTGTCCCGCAGAGACAGGTGTTGACTTTGGGGGGGAGCAGATGCAGATGCTGGCTGTTTGGAGACGGGATCGTCCCACCTGCGCCCATGTAAATACAGCACGAGCCTCACATTCGGATGAACACTGGGGAAAACGGAATCAAAACATTGACTCCTGGTATTACTTAACCCTCTAAATCACAAGCAGTGTCTTGGTGTTTTCTGCTTTTGTTGGCTCATTTTTCACTGCAACACAAAGTCCTGCACCTCTATGGAAACAGCACAACCATGGCTAGAAGTAGAGAGAATTTAAAAAATGCATCTCTACATGCTATAAATATTTAACTACTTTTCAGTACATTTTTTTAAAAACGCTTTTGCGCCTATCTGCTCCGTAAACAGCCTGCAGTTAAATCAAAGTCGCAGAATTTTTGTCATGTGACTGTTGGTCGCAGCTACGTCAGTCATAGTTTCCTAGTTGTGTTGAGGATCACAGAATTTTTTGTTTTTGATGGTTTCTGACTAAAGCAAATGGTCATTTTTTAGCAAATTTTTAAAAACAAGACATGTTGAATAAAGTCATTTTCATAAAATAGGCCTACTTGAAACATTGATCTCGTTCATTTGTTAGTTCAAGGAACGTCGTAAAGTTCAAAACCCAACAATTCTCTTTGTTTTCGCAGTTTCTTTCTCTGATAAATGCTGTAATTTTGGTGATTTTTTAAATAAAGCATACTTTTCAGACCCACTAGTTGGTTAAACAGCCGACTCCCACTATCACTAAATTACAAAACTGGGCTATTTTCTCTTATTTTAAACCTCTTTAGGTGCGATAAGTGCAGCTGCAGGCTTCATGGGCACAAGCCTCCTGCGTGCAGCTGCTGTAATGATGCAGACGAAAGCGTTTCCTGCTGCTCTGAACGCTGCCTGAAAGCCGGCGTGTTCTCCGGCGCAGAGTTCCCGATGCTCGGCGGTGTGAGAACCCTCGGGCCCCTCGAGGCTTCACCCATGTTGCGAACATTTACTGTTAAACTGAGCAGGCAGAGGTGTTCTGCTAAATGGAAAAGGGTTGTTTGCTCCTCAAATAGACGTTGCATCAGCGGGGCAATGGCCTCACGTACCAAATGAAAAGCCCTCGGTGCTTAAGGGAGGCACTCTAAATGTAAATGGGTTCATTTAGGTTGAGCAACATGCAGTTATATATTTAGTTATATAACCTGCATGTTTTGGGTTGCAGCCGTCTGCCGACAGCAAGAGTTAAAACTGCAACGAGACAAAGTGCTTCCTTCATATGTAAAACAACAGTACAATGTGATACAGGCCATTAGCTCATATTCCACAGTTGTGATTGCGTAATCAGTCACAGCACATAATGCAGTTATTTCTGCATATTTTAAATGTTTCCCTGTAATGCTGTTGCTTCATTGTTACGCCTCTGCTTCCCTTTATTATCATATACAATATGTTTTCCCCCCGTGAATGATGAGCTGTGGTGAGGCAATAAGATGGAAATACGTTACCTACCGCGTCGTTAAGCTCGCAGATTCGATGTTTCTCTTATTGCCAACAAATCCGATCAAGAAGAAGAAGAAGATAATCAACAGTGACTTAAACCTACTAACAAGTATTGTGTGTCTATCCGGAGCCTGACATGGCTTATTCCTCTGTGCCATGGAGCTCCATTGTTGTCAAAGACTATTACTGACACATCAGTGAGCCACACTGTTGCACCGGGTGACATGTTCCTTCATCATCACAAACACACACACACACACACACACACATATTGTAGTTTATTTTGAGTCGGTACACTGTTCTGCTCCTGGAAATACTCATTAATATGCACTATTTACTCCTGCTTGCTAAAAAAGTACAGTGAACAGCTGTTTTAGAGAGTTGCTCATTTTGTGTTTTAAAAAAAGCATACACAGCAATCAGCCACAACATTAAAACCACCTGAATGTTGTTGTGCAGCTGCCAAAGTGGCTCTAAATCATCCTGCCATTGGACCTCTGTTGTCACCGAGACATGGCAGCGGGTCCTTCGGGTCCTGTGGGTTGCAGGGTGGAGCCTCTGCGGATCAGAAATGTTCGTGTGCATCCTGGCAGTGCTTGATTGGATTGGGAAATGGGGAGTTTGGAGGCCGGGTCATCGCTTTAGGCTCTTTGTGGTGCTCCTCCAGCCACTCATGAGCAGTTTTGCAGAGTTGTGGGTCTTTTTTGGGGCGTGCTGTTGCAATGGAGGGAGTATGTTTCGCCTGAAGTGGGTGTTACACGTCAAACTAAGGGCCGGTTCTTTCTTTGCGTGCAGAACAATGCAGACGTGGCTCCGCTCATACTACAGTACGTCTGCGGTTACTCCTATTGAGCACAGAAAAACACGTGTGAAGGATATCGTAGCTACTTATAGACTGAGCTGTAGCACTTTGTCGGAGGCAGCTCCTGTGTGGGTGGACATACCACAGAACTCCTGGAGATTTTAGAACATTTCACTGTGTTTGGGCTTCGTCAGTGGAGAGCATGTACAAATCAAAGCTCGTCCACAGCTCTTGCTTCGATTTCAGCTCTTTTAATGATAAACTATAAAGGTGGGGATGACGTAGAATGGCCTTGTTCAGTCTTTCTTCTAAACAAGCATTTGTTTTGAGCACCATTTGGGTTTTTTTTTGCACGTCCATCGATGTCTGCAAGGGTCCAGGGACCTCGGTGTTTGATGGAATTCACGTAGATCCTAATGTGGAACATTATGGACAGAATCTATGGTGTTTATTTCACCTGTTGGAGGTTTTAATGTTGTGGCAGATCTGTGTCTATATAAATTTCTGGTAAATCACTATCTATTACCAAAATGAGTTAAACAAAGACCAGACATAAAAACAAAATCAACGTAGGTACTTCTGACACCATTTCTAAGGTGCAAGTTTGGCATTCGGCCATCTTTCTCTCAAAACCAGACATAACAATGAAATGTGGATTTGACTGAGAATGGAGAACAGGTTGTCGATCACAAGGTACCCAAAAAAATGCCCCGTTTTCCTTCAAAACGAGCATCACACTGAACTCAAAAGGTCTTGAAACTAGCAATTGAGACCAAAAACCTTTTCGAAAAATGTTCACCGGAGTAAAAAAAATCAATGTACGGTTATTTTCTCACAGACTTCTAAATAATCTGACTTCTTTGTGCACCCGAAGGAGTCGCCCCCTGCTGGATGTTAGACAGAATGCAGGTTTAAAGCACTTCTATGTTGGCTTGTGTTGGCTTTTCAGACCCTGGGGCTACGCCTACCTTTTCTATACAGTCTATGGAGGTAACACAATGACGACTGAGACTGTGACCGACTGACTAAATGATTTAAAAGCATTTACAGTATGTTAAACTCAACAAGCCACATGCCAGTCATGACGTATTTTCTAACACCCAGCAGCTATCTTTCTGCCAGAGAGTGCAGGCAGAGAAACACAACTCACTTGAGTGAAGCACGACACAGTTTTTTCCTCCCCTCAGTAGATTGCTTCACCTCCACCTGTGGTGACCTGGAGTTGTTACCGCTTATTTCCATAGGTTAGAGCTTTACATCTTCAACAGAAATACGTGGACCGGAGTGCTTTGTGGTGAACCAAGAAAGCGTTGAGAGGTGTGAAGGAAAAAATGACTGCGCTCTTGAAGATGACACTGAATTTTTATCCTCTAAGCTTCTCCTGACCTCCCCAAATGGATATCGTCTATAAAACCTGTAGCAGATGTACAGCAGTCTACAAATCTTCTTCTACAGAATCTTGACCCCATGTAGATGTATTGTAGGAGGACAGGAAGGCACTCTTTGTGCCTCCAAAGACCAGATTGCACTCAGGCGCCAAGCTATCTTCTTGTTTTCCTTTCCATCCATAAATCCAGATAGGATTTCCCACTGAAGGACGGTATAAAGTCTAAGGTATGAGAGAATCCTCAGAACTGATGCTGGCATTGCATGCGTGAATTGCTGCACTGACAGTGTCTGTTCTCCTGGTATCAGTAAATCTTATTTCAACCAAAGTCATCCGTCTCTCTGTGTCGGTTTCCTCATCTTCTTTCAACCTCTTCAAGAAATCCACGTCAAGAAGGACTAACCCACTGTTGGATTTAGTCTTTTCATGGGATTTGTTGATATAAGCAGCATATAGAGCATTGCTGACCTGATTCTTTAAAGCTGGAGTCTGTGACTCTGGAGAAAGATTGTCGATCTGCAAACTAAATTTAATCCCAGTTTGTTATCAGATTTACTCTCTTTCCAGCTCCGAACGCCTCCAGTCTCCTCTACTGCGTCCTGTGCAGAAGCATGAACACGCATGATCATAAACATGGTGTTGCATTGATCGGTTCAAGCCACAAAACTGATATTCTTCTCATTGCACACACACACAGATTGGACAGCCAGCAGACTGTGAGGAGATATTCGCTGATTGTGACTGTCTCGGATTAGAATCACCGACTCTCGCTTTAAGAGAATGGGCCGTTCAGTCATGCTCACGATACGCAGCGTTAAAGCCCCGCAGTGCTTCTGTTTGCCAAAGTCATTCCACTAAATTTATCTAAACGTAATCAGCGCGTCCAACATATTGTAAATTGCAGACGGTTTTCGAGACATACTTAGAAAAAAGGCAATTTAGAAAGTAATAAATATAAAGCAGCACCCTCTCTTGGCAAATCAGGAGACGTGGCCCAATGTCTGAAATGTCGTGACTGGCATAGAAAACACTAAAATGAACATTGTGCAACCCACCCTTGGGCCGATGAGTGCGTTCATATCATTCTCCAGAGTTTTTGTCAAGAAACACAGACAGATGGACAAACAAACTTACTGACTGACTGACAAGACACTGAGTCACTGTCCCTCCCCAGATTTCACCGTGTGGGAAGAAATATGATCGGAAAATCACAAATTAGCTTAGAAGCGGTGAAAAATAAAATCTAGTTCAAGAGTAAAAAAAAAAAACAGAAACCATGATGTGTTAAAACACCGTAATCCTCTGAGTGATATCTGGGCCAAACAGCAGTTGCAGCTGATATACGATGAATCTTTAATGATCACAGTGTGAAATCATGAAAAATTGCAGGATACAGCTTGGAAAAAATGGCACATGAGCAAACAAAATATATATATCCATAAATAAACATGCAAAAAGGTTGATTCTGTGTATTCTATTCCTATATTTAGTTCTCTACGTTCTGCCTCCACTGATCTCTGTCGTGTCTTGTTATGTCTGCAGTTCCCCATGATCAGCGAGTTCGGGGAGGACACCAACTCCTACTGCTCCTTCGAGAGCAAGGAGACGGCGCTGCTGCACTCGGAAAATGGAAATCTGCAGCAGAGAGTCAACGTCCTGACCCACGAGGTGAGAGGACGGACGAGGACGCGAAGTGGGAGGCGTGAATATTCATTTCTTTTAATATAAGCTGGATGAAATAAAATTTAAAAAGAAAACCTTATCATGCCAGAGCTGGAATTCTGCAGAAATCCCTCCCTCCGTGTGAATTAATTGAATTAAAAGTGAATTAAGGCCAACCCTGGTGGACGTACGTTGAGAGATGTCCAGAACTAATTAAGCACTAAAGCTGCTGTCTGAGCAAAATCACTGAGACTGGGTGTTTTTTAAGAATCTGTCCAAGGAGCGCTGTGACATGGGATTTTCACGCTGGTGTTCTATTTTTGAGATGTGAAATAATTGGGTGTAAACCTGGCCAAGATTTTTAGCTGAATGTGTTAGGAAGGTAAAGAAGACACTTTCTTCCCTTAGATAACACATTTTTGAAGTATTTTGTATTGTTTAACATGTGAAGTTCAGCCCAAAATGTATAATCTCTAACCCAAATTTTGATTTATAGCGATTTTTTATTGTTTATTCTGACTGGAAATGATGTAAACAAGCAACAAAAGGTGGTAAAATGTTGTTTTATAGCTGTTAATGCAAACTAAAATTCATTCATACCCCTGAAATTGTCACAAACGCTCGGGTAAACGCAGCTTCTGTTCAGTTCCAACGTTATAGAGCATTTTAATTAACTATAAGCTAAGAAGAGCTGATGCAGTAGTTCTCTAGTCAGTTTCTAATCAACCGACTAAAGCCAAACAGCTCAGTGAACTTCTCCATCGCCGGGAGATAGTCGCACATTGTGGCTGCTCACAAGACAGTGGATCGCTGTAAAGTGATTTCCAAGTGTTTTTAAAGTGCCAGAGCAAAGCGTCATCCAAAAGCACAAGGAGTTCCACACTGAAGAGTCTCAAAGGGCTGGTAGGAAGACAGAAGTGGCCTCTCTGTGCTGACAGGAAGAAGAATCCAAGATTATCCTTAATCTGAGTAATTGTGGCGCCAAGATCTCTGAACAAGGCTGGACTCCATGAAGACCGAGGAGGACTAAACTTCTCCAAGACAGACTGATGAAGGAGGAAGCTGCTGTGGTCACATTAGAGATACAGCTGAAACCAGAAGTTTACATACAAAAAGACTCAACGTCTAACAATTAATCAGACTAAACTTTTCCTGGCTACGGTCCGTCAGGATTACCAAAATTATTCTTACTTCAAAGTCAGAAATTTACAAACACTAAGATGCCTTCAAACTATTTGGGAAAGCCCAGATGATGATGTCATGGCTTTGGAAGCTTTTGATAGGTTAATTGACAACATGTGAGTTAATTGGAGGCACACCTGTGGATGTATTTTAAGGCTCACCTCAAACAGGCTGCTTCCTTTTGGGACAACATGGAAAATCTAAAGACATCAGCCAAGATATCAGGAAGAGAACTGTGGAGCTCCACACGTCTGGTTCATCCTTGGGTACCATTTCCAGATGCCTGAAGGCTCCACGTTCATCTGTTCAAACAGTTATACGCGAGTATAAACACCATGAGTGCACAAAATAGATGGCATCATGAGGAAAGAACATTATGTGGAAATATTGAAGCAACATCTTAAGAATTCATCAAACTATTGTGAGAAGCTTGTGGAAGGAAACCCAAAAACGTTTGACCCAAGTCATACAGTTTAAAGGCAACGCTACCAAATACTAAGGAAATATACGTAAACTTTTTTGAAGAAAGTAATAAAAAAATATCTCAAAAATTCTCTCTCTCATTAGTCTGGCGTTTAGCAAATAGAAATAATTTTGGTAATCCCAACTGACCTAAAGCAGGAGAAGTTTAGTCTGATTTAATGTCAGATAGTGAGAAAATAAAAGGTTTCATGTCTTTTTATGAAGTGCATGTAAACTTCTGGTTTCAACTGTAAGTGTTTGGACACAAAAAAAGGAGAAGCATCCAACCCCAAGAACTCCATCAACACAGTCTGTTTGGTGGATTTGTTTCTCGCCAATAAGTCTGACAAACTTGTCGACAACAAAGGATGACTTTGGGATTCTGGAGGAAAACACAAGAAAAACCTATCAGCGGGCAGCAGTGGACCTTCCAGTGAGACAGTGATGTAAAATAAACAGCCAAAGAAATGAACAAATTGACGATGCTGGAGTCCAGCATTCAGAGGAGACGTGGAGATGGACACAAAGAGAAGCAAACTCCCAGCAGAGACATGAAGAAAGCAAATGAAGGGTTTGCTATTGATTACCCAGGTATGAATAATTTTGGACGTGGCATTCTTGGCAAAAATGCACAAAAACAAGAAACCTATTTTTAAAACTAAAAATAAACTGTAAATAATTATAAATTCAGATTTGGCACAGGTATAAATAATTTTGGGGATTTTTTATTTTTTTTTAAATCCACAGAAATAGTAAAAAAATTCCTCATGGCGCAATGTTTCACTGTCTGACGTCACTTGTTTACGTCATTTCCCGCCAAAAGAGCGACAAAGAACCCTCCTCGACTGTATATGTGTAGTCTGCAGACATCTGGAGTGAGATAGCCCATAATGTGTTTGGACTACTCACTCCCCTCTCTTGTAACTCGACTATTTCTCTGAGCGTGTGAACGAGAGCGTGGGGAAATAGAAATGAGAAACGACTGACACAGGAAGGCCGCGGTAAAAACTGACGGCAGCAGCAGCAGCGGCGGCGGCGGTGGCATTAAAAAAAAGAAAAAGAAGCGAGAGAGCAAGACAAAGGAAGGAAATATGGTTTTTACGGGAGCAGCAGAAACGATTAGCGTGGGACACACAAGGTCACGGGGCTCCGACACCGAGCGTTCAGAGTGATGAAATGTGCCACGGCTCACTGAGCGCGCTCCACCGGGACCGGACCCCGACCAACACCGTGCACACAAACCCTGACCTTTTGCTTTCGCTGAAGTGGTGACCTCCAATTATCAAGGAGAAGCGAAAGGTGGCACATTGTCACGACGCATAAAGCCAAAAAGTGTCGGCGCTTTACCTCAAGAAATACAGATTAAAGTGCAGCTGCTTCTCCTGGTCTCACCTTCCTCATGCGCAAACCCTCGCTGCTCCCTTTGCAACTTACTGGCTTTAATATGTGCCCATAAATCAATTTATTTAGCATCAGCAGAAGGCGACAAACTAAACGAAACCAAGAAAACCAGTGGATTTGAGCTACAGGTAAAAAGCTAGAAATCACCACGAAACTTGCAAAGTTAATTACAATAAAAGAAAGTTGTTTTTTTTCCCCTGAAATTAGATGTTTCAATATGCAAATGAGGTATTTTACATCTTAAAAAATGCTCTAATTTTGCATTAACATGAGTCTAAACTTTAGACAACGCCAGCTTCAGCTTCATTTTGTTGACATTTGAGAGCTGGATATATTTATTACTGCATAAATCAGATAAAAAGGGCAATTTTTGATGGATTCCATGTTTTTAGGAATAACACGTTCCATCAATTGGGTTATGAATGATATATGAACAAACCCCTCCTGGGAGACCTTCAGAATATAGACAGGAATAAATAAATATGGGAGGTTTGGTGTCTGAACGTGCTGCTGAAGTGGAGATTTTTTAGCTGAGAATGTTGGAAAAACTGAGAAAACGGCCTTTAAAGACACGTAATGTGATTAAAATCTGCAGATGCAGGAAGCAAAATGCAGGAAATTAAAAATCTAAATTGGATTTTTTTTTTCTTTCCACTAGTCTGAAAACAGATATGACATCAAGACACAACGTACCAAAGTCTCAAAACTGACCAGAGCATGAAGAAAATTAGTTTTTTAATCTTGCTCTATAAATGTATGTCATCCATTCCATCTATTTACTATCTAACTGCTTAATTGTTTAACAAAAGACTTTATTTATCTATCCCTTCTGTTTCTCATAAGCTAACACATATTTTTATGTGCATTTTGAAGTATTGTCTCAGGAAAAGTTCATGGAAGCTGCAATACTTGAGGGGGGAAAAGTAGTTTTTTGGACTTAAATGTAATTAATCAGACATGCAATCATCTTGTGCATGAGTTCTGTCAGAGCAAAGATTTAATTAACTCACACGACTGATCAGCTGTTTCAGCTTGAAGCATGAAACATGCCCGATACCTGCAACGTGAAAGAAGAATCACATTTTGCCTGATTGAAAACACGTCCTCTCTCATAGCTGGACGAAGTTTAGTTTCTTCTTCAAGGTTTTTGTAGCTTTTGGCAAACAACGAGGCCGAAATCACCTCCTATACCCTACATAGTGCACCATATAGGGTATTTGTAGTGCTGTCCGAATGTTAAGTTACAAATGTTACACCCAATATAGTGCACTCAAAATGCCCCACGATGCACCGTGAAAAGTAGCGTACAGCCGATGGTCACTATCCAGCAATATGGACGAAAGGAAATGCAAACTAGACGAACGAGAGCGCGAAAACATGTCATTAAAATGTAAGTAGATTCCCGTTTGTTTTGTTAATTTTTCTTTTTTTACCCGTTTCTTGGATGGGTTAGATGAGATGGCGGCGCTTCGTTTAGTTTCCGTCTTTTTCTACTCTGTTTATTGAATCCATGTGTAATACCGCCACCTACTGGCAGCACGATCTGATGCAGTTCAAACAGCGTAATTGAACTTTTTGATTTTTTGCAACCTTTGTAAAAGTTTGCTTCAAATTTGCTTGACAATTAAACGGAGCATAGTCTTGTTTCCTGCCACTAAATCCACCGTTAAACACTAGTAGCAGCTGGTAACTATTTTATTAGTAACTGACTCACGCAACAGAAATTATGCTGCACATTTCAGGGTGTATTTTGAAGCGTTACTATGCAACACAACAAGCCAGTCCCCCCCTACAGCAAGTGAAAATGTAAAACGTGATAATGGCCGTTCTACTTGTAGTAATGCTCTAGAGTTTGTTTTTAAATTTTGGAAACCCTCGCCTCGTCTCCAGTAACGGCGTCACAACGAGCCGTTCACGCCTCGCTGCCAGTTTCTTTTTGCACCGGCATATGTTACCATAGACACCCTGAACAGGCTCCAGCGCTCCTGCACACGGCGGCGATATACCTCTTTGTCCTCGCCGACTCTCTGTTTATCTCACTGCTGCTCCCACTCTCGTTCTCCCTGCCGCCTAAAGTGACCACATTCTTCAATAAAAAGCTCACTTCTGTGTCCTCGCCTGCTTTGAAAGTCTCTCCGTTTCACTCGGTGACGGTGCGTGCCCTCGGATCCGTCAAACGCGGCGCCGTTATGACATCCACCCCTTTATTATGCCACACTGTGAGAACACAAGATCAGCAAGACTTCGAGGTTTTTGTTTTTTCTTCCTTCTTCCAGCATTATTGTTGGAATCATGATTTATCCACTCTCGGAGAAGGGGGGGAGGCTCCGTACATGCTGAGGTATCAGGATCTCGGTGTCCTAAATTTTGCTCGGTTACACAACACTTTCTTAAGAGACACATTTGATGACTCTCACAGTGGAAGTTTTTTTTTTTTCCTTTTGTGAGAAAGTTTGAAAAGTGACAAAGACAGGAGGAGGGGGGGAAAAAAGTAAATGTGTCAAGCCTTTCTTTCGGTGGGTTTTTTGTTTTTTTTTTCCAGCTTTTTTTTCCTTTCTCTGTGTGTCGTTTCAGCTCCAGAAGAGGAAGGAGAGAGAGGAGCAGCTGGAGGATGTGATCCAGGCCTATGAGAAGATCCACATGGAGAAGAGCAACCTCCAGAGGGATCTGGACAAGATGGTCAGAGGCGTCGCTCTCTCGTTGTTTTACGACACGAGCCGAGTGGTTCATTAATTAAAGCGTCGCAGTTTCACACTCGGCTAATGGAGACCAAATAGAGAAAGCAAAACTCTGCTCGGCTGACATTGTAAAAAATGAAAAGAACCTAAAAGAGGCTTAATATTAATTCAGTAAATCCACTGTTTAAAAATGTGCGAGGCTGCTGGGGCTCTCTCATGTTTACTTTTTGGCTTTTCTGCATCCCAAACACACAAGAGACCAAAACTAGTGATAATTCTGCTTCTGCTGCTTCGGTTGTTCATGCAAATCCACCAAATGTGTGCCATTATACACCTGTACTAATCCTTCAAATGGTGGTCCATCTTTCATTTGTGCATTAAAATACTATAATAGAGACCATCTTGCTATTCGGTGACCCCACCCATTGTCAACTTTGGCCTTTATTTTAATGTCAACCACATATCTGTAAAGTTTTATGGCTGAATTTTACGTGTGTTGATCAAATCTGTCCACAGACACACAAACTATTCAAAATACTCAAAACTATGGTGGTTATAGGATGCCTTTAGAACTACATGTTGCAATGATGACACAGAAAAAGCAGCAACATTTGAGGCAGAACCATGAAGACAAAGTGCCAAAAAAAACTGCAGTTCCTCGACTGTCCACTAGAGGCTGTCCACAAAAGCGAGTTGCTTCCCTTTGACCAACAGTTTTGGTCTCAGTAGCTAATTTCTCCATTTATGACAACTGAAAGGGCGGTTAATTTCTTATATAAGCAGTTTATTCAAATTATATGAAGGTGGAAAGTTATGCATAATTAAGACTTTTGAGTCACTGAGCTCAAACGCTAATAGCCACTACACAGGGCTTCAAAACCACAGAATCATGGGCATGCTGCAGAACATATAGCCTAAACCAGCAGTCCCCAACCCGTTTTGCACCACGGACCGGTTTTAAGCGAGAACATTTCCTACGGACCGGTCATCACTCACGTAAAAAAAGATAATTGTTTTTTCTATTTAAAAGTTTCATAAAGGAATAAAATTACTTGCTAAATACGTGTTTACTTTTTCTTTTTCCGTCTTAGTATTGAGTCTCTCCCACTTTCCAAAGAAGCTGTTTGTTTTTTAATTATTTCGGCAGGTTAGACTGACGGCTTCATTTAACAGCCGAGCATGAAAACTATTAAGAGTCAAATGCGAGAAACAAGACGGACTCGAAGACAAGCTCGTCGTTTTTCAAAATAAAACACCCTGCAGACTCCACTGGAAATAAAAATAAACCAACAAAATGTTTTTTTTTTTTCTTTCTGTGCGGCCCGGTACCAAATGACTCACGGCCCGGCACCGGTCCGCGGCCCGGTGGTTGGGGACCACTGGCCTAAACTGCAGTAAATGTGTTAATTGCATTGATTTTAATTAAAAATTAATAATCATTCAGCCCTGGTAAAGTGCATGACCTGTGATTTTTTTGGCCAAACTTGACTTCGATAATGATTTTAACTTCACATCTGAAAAGTTCAGTGACTGTTCTTTACAAAATCTGTCCACTGACGGACATTAAAACAGCTGCCAACGCATCAAAACTGACTTCGTAGCAATTCCACCTACAGCAGATTTTTTCTAAGATCATATTTTGCTGTAAGAACACAAAAGCAGTAAGAGCCACTCCGTCACAGCACCCTAAAAACATCTTGATCGCTTTCAACATGACCTCAGCTTTTGCCACAAAAGCCTAAATACTCAATATTTAGCCTGTAAAGTAAAGTTAGCTCACACTGCTCCTGTTCATTTGTTGTAAATGAAGGTACCGGCAATGTCTGAGCCTGTAGATTAGCTCTAAAGTCGTGTTTGTCTTTCTGTCAGACTGACAGGATGAGCACAAATAAAATGCATCGGATCACTTTAGTCGTGCATTTGAGACCGCGCTGCTCACTTCAGAGTAATTGCCGTCTGAGGAAAACCCTTTTTCATTAACTCCTATACTGAGTGAACCGTCCTTCAGAGAGAAAAAAAAGTCACTTTAAAGTGATTCAGTTGAAGTTCTCCTGGAACAAAACATACACTTTAGGCTTGCTGTTACTTGTAAGAGTTCATACTGTAAGTAGAACCCTTTTTCAAAAGATTTTGAGATTTATTTTAACTATTTCCTCCAAAGCAATGTGCAAAATTACAACATTTAAAACACCTAAAACAACTTTATTTTGTCAGTGCCTCCAAACCAAGGTCGATGCAGAGGCTTCCAGCTGAACAGATTGGCTGGCCTCCGTGACAATAAACCCTCATATGAGAGTGAAGTCCATCACAGAGAGCAGCCTCAGCACTTTGATGCGGTCCGAGTGATTAGGAGATGAAGTGCGCCAAAGATGCTGGAACTGCCACCTGCCAAGCACCGACGGCGTCAATGTCACCCAAAGCCTCGGCCGCCGTCATTAATGCGCTGCCATCTACCTTCTGGGCCTCGTTGGCCTTTAACCCAGCGGCCTTTTACTCACTCGCTCATCTACATAATATACAGAAGTGCGCAAAAGTTCAAGGCACTAAAGGTAAAGTGAGGATGCTTTAAAAATAGAGCCGCGGATGGCTTTTATGGATCAATTATTGTAATTTTGTGCGAAGCTTTCGAATCGACTCGGCCTGAAGGTTGTTCCAGCGACAGCAGGGTGTGAGCTTTTATGCTGTGCACTTTCCAATAATATACTGTACTTACATAAAGACACTGTCATCAGCATTAACTGTCACTGTTAAACAAAAAGCAAGTAAAAACTAGAAATCTGGGGGCTGCAAGATGGTGCAGTTGGTTAGCACTGTTGCCTCGCAGCAAAAAGGTTGCCGGTTCGCGTCCTGGTGGCGGCACCGCGATCTTTCTGCATGTTCTCCCTGTGCAGCGTGGGTTCTCTCCGGGTTCTCTGGCTTCCTCCCAAAAACATGTTGAGGTTAATTGGTGATTGTAAATTGTCCGTAGGTGTGAATGTGAGTGTGCTTGGTTGTCTGTCTCTAAGTGTAGCCCTGTGATAGACTGGTTACCTGTCCAGGTGAACCTGCCTTCACCCTGAGTCAGCTGGGATAGACTCCGCCCCCCACGACCCTAGTGAGGGTTAAGCGGTTTATAGATAATGGATGGATAGAAATCTGGCAGCCATGTTGCCAGAAAAAGTTATGTTTAAAAAAACACCAGGATACTATAACGTTTAAAATCTAGGAAAGACCAAAAAAAAAAAACTTGTAAATTAATCCATCCATTTTCTATACACCGCTTAATCCTCATTAGGGTCGCGGGGAAGGCAGGGGACACCCTGGACAGGTCACCAGTCTATCACAGGGCCACACTTACAGACAGACAACCAAGCACACTCACATTCACACCTACAGACAATTTAGAATCACCAATTAACCTCAACATGTTTTTGGACTGTGTGGGAGGAAGCCGGAGAACCCGGAGAGAACCCACGCTGCACGGGGAGAACATGCAAACTCCACGCAGAAAGATTCCGGTGCCCCCACCGGGACGCGAACCGGCGACCTTCTTGCTGCGAGGCAACAGTGCTACCAACTGCACCACCCTGCAGCCCTTGTAAATTAATATTAAATGTAAAAAAAAAAAGTCTGTCTTAGGGTATCAGCGTAAAGTTAGCCGTCTAAATCAAGTCATTCTTGTTTTTACCTCCAACAAAAGCATCAGATTTCACATTTCATAACCATATTTTGGAAAAAGAGTACACGCTGCTGTTCAAATCTGGCTGTCTGGGCTCGATCAGATGCCTCCTCGATGACGCAACATTTTGCACAGTACTTTCTACAAGATCTACACATACATATTGTTCATATGGACATTCAAACGCTTCTTTTTTTAGTCAAAAATGCTGCATAGGAACAAGAAAATGCAAAAAATACATGCTTCAATATGCTCACGAGCCACACCAGCCTCAACTCTCATCTCCACCAATCTGTCCTCCTTCCTTGTTTCTCTTCAGCCTTTTAATATAGAGAAACTATTTTCTTTAACCACCAAGTAAACCAAAGTGTGTGTGTGTGTGTGTGTGTGTGTGTGTGTGCGTGTGTGTGCGTTTTGTGTGGGCTGCTGTTGCCAGAGTTGTGTTATTGTGGGATGTAATTATGTGCAAACATTCCCATGTGCTTTCAGGAAGGTTCTACATCTCTAATGCAACACTTGAGGTGTTGTTTTGCACCTGTGTGTCTGACCTGCAGGTGGATTTTTTTCATGATAGTCGATGGCTGCAGATATGGCTATGCAAGGACACAAATCCAGATGAGTGATACTGATATTTAGCAGCCTCGGATACGTTCACTAGAACTGCGATGAATAATCAATTAATGGTCAACTGTTAAATTAATTACAGAGTACATCGTCGTTTTTAGGATTTAAAAAAAAAAAAAAAGAGTCAAAATCTTCTTCAGCTTCTTAAATTTGACTATTTTCTTCTATGTTTATGTCATCAAAAGTTAAAAACAACACATCTCAGGGCATAAAATTGGGATTTGAACCACAGATTTCAAAGATCAAACAACTTATCGATTAATCGAGACAACAAACAATCGATTAATGATCAATGAAAACAATGTTCACAAGTGGGCTTCCTTTCATCTCGGCTATAGGAAGCAGCCTTGAACTGTGCTTTGCGCTGTGTTTTCTCCACTCAAATGTGCCTAAGAATAGACGTAACCTCAGTAAATACGTGATGTTAAATGTGATTACAGACCAGCCTGGTGGAGAAACATGTGGAGCGCATCCTGAGCCTGGAGTCAGCTCTGAGGCAGAGGGACAACTCCCTGCAGAAGCTCAACATGCAGCTGCACAGCAAAGACATGCAGTATCTGCAGCTGCACGCCGGCCCAGACGCACACAGTAAGTGACCACGCAGCATGACTACGCATCTAAGTTTCTGTATACCTGATTAAGAAGGGACACGTGTTTATCTTATGTATTTATTTTAGCATCAAAGTAACTCAAACTCATGCTCCAACTTTTATTTGTTGCTTGATACAAAAGCTGATAGGTTTCTCATGACTAATCTACAAGAGAACTCTATCTGATAAGCTGAGTTTTGTTTCTCTATTTACCTAATACAGAGTCTGTGGACGTGCAGGCTTAACGTGCACCGCAAAACGAGCGAGGAGCACGAGAGAAACACTGAATAGGAAGATTTAGTTCCAAAACTATTGCACGGTCAACTGTAGGGCTGCACAATCAAAGGAATTTTAATCATAATGATGGTGTTTGGAACATGCTCGACTGCAATGCTGACGTCTTCAGTATCGGTAAATCTGACATTAGATTTCACTCTTTTTAAAGTCATTTTTGGTCACACATCTGTCCGAGCTGCTTCGCTTCACTAACTAAGTGGAGACTAGAGGCTTCTCTGTGCACAGCTTGCTTCTACCACCGCCTGCATGGGAGGCATTTAGGGAACATCTGGAAATTGTGCCATCTATCCGGAAGCAGATGCTCAGCAGATGGGAAGGTTTGGGTGCAATTTCATCTATATTTTGCTTGTAGGAGATGCAGTGAATTCAGATGAAATTCATATTTCAGCGACAGAGAGGATGATGTTGACCGTATATATATATCGTAAGAAAACAAAACACTGCAATGTCAGTTGTTTCCTTTATCGTGCAGCTCTGTTGTGATCACACACAAACACAAATGCACTGAACAAACCAAAAGCTTAGTTTATAAAGCAGTGATGAGTTAGGCGACCTGTATATTTCTTATAAAGTGTTTGACGTGTGGCTAAACAGCTTTGGAAAGTCACTACTGCAGCTGTCTTTGCACATTTGGATTAAAGGGGTCTGTAGTTACACTTTAAAACA